GGGGAACTCTGCAAAAAACGCATCTTCGCACGGGCAGCCCGTGCGTTGGCCAATTTTTAATTTTGTACAAATGTGCAAATGGCCACAATAAATACCAAATAAACAAAAGTGACTCCAAAATGAGGGCAATTAGCCGAGCTGATAGCAGAGAAGCTGCCGACACCGGTTCCCTCCTGTACATCGTTACTGTTGTCGTAATAACTAATATCTGTGTCCCTATCGATAAATACATGTTTCCTGCTTTCAAAGTTTGACTTTCGTCTGGGACTTTGGCTGCTCAAGCTATTTTTTCTCGGATCCGGACCATGCACTGCCGTTTTTCCGTGCCCTTCTCCATTTCTTGGTCCGCTAGCAACAAATTCTTCAATAGCTGGGCTCGTCTTTTCATCATTTGACCAAATTATTTGCGCTTTTTCACTCGCCACTTCGGCCTGAAGTTTCATTTTGTATCATTGAAGAAGACAGAAATTATTTTAGGCTCAAAGAAAGTCTGGTTATTCAGGTCGGATGAGGAAAATACGATAGACTGATCCATAAAAAGCGTAAAAATTAGCCCAAAAAGGCGTTCGAAAAGCGCAATAAGCTGAGTTAAATAAATCATAAGCTGAGCTCTAAGAAGAAGGCAAAACAAGAAGCAATGATAAATTTCGTTCAAGCCTTTTCAAAGGGGGAGTTGGTTAGGACGCTATGTAAAATTACCTCACGCTCTGAGGATGAATAACTCATTCAGCATCACTGACAGCGGTGTATCGAAGAAAAAAGAGAAATAAGTTGGACTGGATTTTAAAGTTTTCAATAAAAGAATGGCTTTACAAAAGATTGAGATTGACGGATCTTTAAAAATTATCTGTAAGTAAAAAAAATCTGTTTTTAAAGCAAAAAAATGAATGTTTTTACTTACCTCATATTTTCGAAAATCATGGTCTGCAGAGCGCATTGTTGTAGCTTTAGCTTCCGGAGAATACCCAGAAGTTGGACGCGGCAAGTCATGCGGTTTAGAGTGACCAGTAAAACGGCAACCTGGCAATAAAGTATTGGTGGTATCGCCGAGCACACGAAATATTGCTGACCACGCTGCTGCGCCGCAGTTACGCTCTATCGGACGTTCGACACAGCTCGAGAAATAATTTAGCGCACTGAAACGTTACGGCAATATAATTTAGTCCTTTCTCGGTTCGCTATGATGCATCCCAAGGGGTTTTCCAGAAAAATCCCGTCAGAACTTAATCGTTTGAAAATACCAAACATAACCTGGGGAAGGAGGGCCGCAAGATTCATTCGAAAAAGCCCACAGTTCCTCGTCCAACATGATGCTTGTTTTTATAGCCATTGGTAAAAGCTGCCAAAGAAAACTTGATTTATAATTCTGATAACGTGCTAAGGATGACATGAAAAAGATAAAAACTCTTGAAACTTGGGAATGATGTAGTAATATGGTGTTAAAAATTGCATTTTAAAACTCAAATGCCATAAAATGGTTCATGCTTCGTCACACGACTGCAAAAGCTGGGTAGACATTTCCTGCTAATAGTTTAGTTTTGTGGATAATTTCGTGTTTTTTCACATTATCAGTCGTTGGGCGGCGACATTTAAGAAAACTTCCTCAGCATTTTCTCTCTTCTGTTTCTGTTTTATCGCTCTGGCACCTCCTCTCCAGTCCCTTCCTCCTTCCTCAACTAAATTAGTGCTGAAGCCGTGGTGCTAACGAGGTCCACTTGAGACTGTGAGCTCTAAGAGGTCATGTCCACAGTTAATGAATCGAAATGTCTTAACCGTGTGCTCCAGCCTCTCTTCCTTCCTTTCATCCCTCCTTTATCCCCTGCATTCGTTTATCATTTGTCGATCCTGCATGCTTTCTAACAAATCTCATACTCTGTGATGATTTTACTTCTGTAAAAGTTTGTCGTAGGAGAATTTTAAGCGTCGTCGCATAACTAACAGGAAAGAGGGCTCCTATCCTCATTCTGTGACCTTAGATTCAGTTCATGCCAGCAGCAGAAGTAACCCTGAATGGGCATCTCCGTTTCTTCCTAATTCTCCGCCACTCAAGCCATTAATTATCCAATATTCATAGTTGCAATCAAGAACATCAAAATCCGTTCTTCGCCTTAAATTGTCCATTCAGTGCTCATCAGAGAGTGCGCGCCAGGGCCTAGCAAATCACGCTTTTTGCTTTAGTTGCTGCAAATGACATTTAATAGGCACCTTATAGTCCCATTATGGCTTCCTTTTATACCAAGAATACTAAGACCGCTCGGACAATCGGTGTGGGGATCCCGTATGTTAACGATGTTATTGGCATATTTCGATCCTTTATAAAATGCATAAGGATGTGGTTTGATTTATAATAAATAATTCAAATAAACTCAAATAATAAGTAAATGGAGTAAAAAACATGCGAGAAATAACGTCGAATAAATAAAAAAAAATCAAATTTAAAAGATGAGCTAAGAATAAAGCAGAATAAGATAGATGTAAAATAAAAGTGTAATTAGCTTAAATAGCTTAGCTTTATAAACCACATAATTAGCTCTTATGTGGAATGTATGCCAACAGCAACAGTAAAAAAGCGGTAAAAAGACAGGAAAACGGTAAAAAGGCGGAAAAAAAACTTTTATTATTCTCAATCTATCATAAATGCAAATTTCCAAATTTTCAGTTTTGAATTTATTTTGTTTTAGTGTTCCGGCCACTGCCTAAAAATGGAACCTTCACAAAAAATATAATATGATGAGTTTCAACTAATGATTTCAGGTTTTTCGCTTTGTAGATGCCGAAAACAAAAAATTTGACAGCATAGCTGTTGAGCTCATGGGGTGTGCGCATAAGCAAATACGTGCACATCAGTCTGCCATGCTGCGGTCCCAATTTGCATATGCAAGCGTCAGTGTTGAAATCTGCTTACACACATTCTTACATATATACATACATGAAACCAGCTGCAACAGTAGGTGCCTCTAATTTGCATATGCATATTACAGAAACTTTGATGCTTAGGTAAAGGATGTAAAATGAGACAACTCACGTGCACATTTTATCAAAACGGCTGGGTACTGTAATGCCAGATGCTCTATTTGCCTCTTCGATTTGCTTCAAGGTAACCTCATGGCATTGCTTAACCTCCGGCTGTTGATCCATTTCCACTAGACACTCTGCACTTGCCATAAATGCTGCAAACATCCAAACTTGACTTGCAAAATACGGCTGTTTGTCTACAGATAATCGAAAGCGAAGTATTTAGTTTTTAGGAATGATTAATCCAGGAAAGGCTGCTAATTTCATCCGAGAAAAGGCGAAGGGTGTCGAGCACAAATTTAAGTTCTTCTGATTAATGCAGAAAAGTGTGCTAATTTAATCCGGGAAGACTTTAGTTCGAGGACAGGCTACGAATATTGTCAATTAGCGTCTCTTAAAGGTTCGAAAAAGTTGGAAATTTTCGAAAAAAAACTTAAAAATTCAAGTTTATCACTAATCAAAACAACTGGAAGAGTTGCCAGCTGCAAGCTGGAGAAT